CAGCTTTTGTGTGTACTCATTCGTATGCTCGTGCCGAGCATCATACGTTGGTCGTACGACAAGGCATTTGTCGGACAGAATACGAGAACACAATCCCGTATCTCTGAGTGGTAGTGGAAAGAAACCAGGCTCAAGCGCGATTGCAGCACACTTGGCCGAAACCTGTCATATCATAGACAAGGAGCAAGCCTTCACCATCATATACCGGGTACCTCTGAACGGACCACGACTGGTACGATCCAAACTACTATCGATCGCAGAAGCGATAGGAATCCGACTGCTGGATCCACAACTTTGCATCCAAAAGAAACTTGTGCGACCTCTGAACTTGAACTGGCCTACAAAACATCTGGTCCCACAAGTCTGTCTGACATTGACGTCATGACCCATTGACCTACCCCTCACCCAACCCCCTTCCTTTGACTTCTATTTCTCTAAAGTGTAGCCCCGATCTTAACTTTTTCCACGTGATTTCTGCTACCATATAGATTTGTGATGTATTAGCCAAGATGAACAATCACAGAAAACAAGCTTTGTTCGCTACCTTCTTCGTTCTCATGACTACAATGGGTATATTTAGCCGCCTGAGACAATTGAAGTTGAATCATTAGAAGAAACAGAGGGATGGAAATCCCAGCCCGACCAAACTTCACAGAATCCCCCTTACACAACTATCGTAGCGCTAGCTCATCCACGCAGACGGACGGACGTGCAAACGATGTTCAAGATGGCTCCACCTAAATCGAACCAGAAGAACAACACCTTAGTCTGGACCCAAATCCATGTAGGTTTTCCCATCAGCCTAACAATTCGTAACCCACCCCAACACACAAAAATCCCTCGGCCTGAGATTTAGCTGATTGGTTCCCCTTCCGCCTCAAATCTCGTCCAACCTTGTAGCCTAGTCATTTGGCCTGACGAAGCTTTTGTGTCGAAGGCGAAAACTTACCAAGCAATAAATCCACTGATGGTCACCAAACGTTTCCGAAAGGAGCTTGAAACTTTTTTCCAGTAAGAGGAATTCATTCCTCGCATCTATGTTTAGTGGTTTTATGCAATATTTTGTCCCATTAAGCGGAAGAACGTTGAAGTCCTCCATACCAACTCCAAGCGCGTCCACCCTCATCATGGAACAGAAAGTTTGATGATAGTAACCTAAATTTAAACTCCCGATTTTTGACAGGCAACCCCTTATTATTTGATTAAACACAGGTACCAAAGAATGTGGACAATGGACATACCCCTCTTGCTTGATCAAAAACGGGCAATAAATAATGGTCATGATATTTATGCTTAATTCAGAAACACAAGTATGTCATGGCTGTAGCGAGAGCCATCTTTCTGGAAGTTTGCAAATTTATTATTAACATTTAGAAGACTGTCATATGTAACTCCACAACTTTCTGAATAGGAAAATTGGCATTTAGCTTACTTCAACAAAGTTTAAACAATATAAATCTGTGTCTGAACCTGGATTTTGGAAAAATTCCGGATTCATCTTGACCTCGTTTTCTGAACTACTCAAAACTTGTTATGATAAGAAGGTGCGAGACAACATCAAGTAGAGATCATTCCCTTTCAATAAGCAGATAAAAGCAATACACTTTCAACTATATTGATACAGTGCTAAAAATCTGCAGCCGCCGGTCAAATCGTCCTCGCTTTTAAACGATGCCTACCATTGCCTGTAAATCCATAGAACCAAGAAAGCCGGACGGCAATGTGCACTTCATGTTGACTGCGCCAAAAGACAACTGAATAATTGAGTAATTCAATAACAACGGATAAATGAAACTCAAAAGCACGGGTCATTTTGCCCATTGATTCAAAGCACCAAAAACACCTCCTGGTAGATGAATTTTGGTGTTGTTTACCATTTAGAAAAATTGATGACGGTCATAGAGATTAGATTAATGATGATTGGTTTACTAAATGGATAAACCGATACTTTTTCAAACGTTGACATTTGGTGCTGTAGGATAAATGAACGGAGCAAGAAGTAACAGCTTTTTTGTGCAAAATAATTTTATCTCGCCGCTTGCAGTCTGCTGATTACTTATGCAGAAAATAAGTGAATAAGGCAAGTTCTTAGCTGAACAACCCGGATTCTGACTTTTGGCACAAGAGCATGCAGATAAAACCGGTTACAGGCGATATATTCATGATTCGGCGCAGTTTGTTCCCGTGGATGTGGAAATTTTATGACTTTTCTTACCGATCTTTTGCTAAACTTTATTTTTATTAGCGAAAATGGAATGAACCATGGTCATGTTTATAGCGTATCGGGGTTCTCGGGCGCTTAATTAAAACAGGCAGCCAAATTGTCTCTACTTCCTGTGAAACCTATTCCACTGATTACTTCCATAGATGTACCCTGTGGCGCTACACAACTAAGATACTAAGCTAAAGCATAAACAATGGCCAGCATTCATTTTCTTGTCGGATATATCCAGATAAATCCATACTGCCAGAAGCAAAAGC